CATAGTCAGTACCTGACCAGTCGTCCTGGTTCTTACTTTGGTTTACGTGAGACCAGCAGTGACAGCCTGGTTGATCGGGCGCTGATCTAACATTAGGCCTGGTGGGGGCTCTGACCCCTCCAGGAAACATCCTTCAAGTAATTTAACAAATGATAACAATACTGACGTGAGTCTAAAAATATCTTCATACCATCCTGCCCAGCCAGGCTGTGCTATCTCTCTCTCTCTCTCTTTTTTTTTTTATTTTTTATTTTTTTTTTTTACACAGGGTTTGACAGGTTAAGGATCCCTAGCTTTATTGACAAACTATTTACAGGTTAAGGATTCCTAACTTTATTGGCAAGCTAAGAGCTGTTACCTACATCAGCTCATTTGAAAGCATTTTTATTGTTATGAGACATACAAGTAGGGAACAGGATGAAGTTGGAGCCATCTGTGGGCCAGCATTTTCATTTGATCAACTGACTTTATCTCGTTGACATCATTATGCTGTACGAATGTGTTCCATACTCGAGTCATCCTGGGTATGTATGATCTCAGATGGAGTGATGTTCTGGAGAAGGGTACAGCCAGAGTGAAGTTGCTGCTTTCTGCCCGTCTTGTGGCATAAAAGCTTGTTTCACGCTGTCCTCGAAGTTGATCCAAGTGTGGTATTTTGACAATATTGGCCTTGTACATAACAGTAAGGCCACCCACATCCCTCCTATGTTGAAGGCTCTGCTGAAATGACAGATCTATACAGGATGGGTCCAGGCGAGAGATGAGACGTCTTGCTCTGTTCTCTACTCTGTCAAGCAGTCGCAGATGAGAGGGGGGGCAGGCAAACCAAGAAAGTGGAGCATACTCAAGGTGTGAGCGTACTTGTGCCTCGTACAGGATCTTGCAACCCCTACTGTCAAGCAGATGGGAGATACGGCGAAGTGCTGTAAGCTTCCTGGCTGCCTTGTTTGCAAGATTTACAACGTGGTTCTTCATGGTTAGTTTGGAGTCAAATTTCACCCCAAGGATATCAACTTCTTCTCCAGGTGCCAACATCCTCCCATTCATCCTTACTACTGCACCAGCATTACCATCATGGTGCCTAGAGACGATCATCATTTGCGTTTTCTCAGGTGCAAATGTTACTTGCCATCTATTTCCCCAAGCTGATATAGCTCTCAGCTGGTGATTGATGTAGCTTAGAGCAGCTGGCATTTCTTCTCTTGGATAAGTGAATGTCAGTGTACAGTCGTCTGCATATGCATGTGATTCTGGGATGAGATGAAGAAGGTCGTTGAAGTAGACATTCCATAACAATGGACCCAGCACGCTTCCTTGTGGAACACTTGCCCCAATAGGATGTCTTGCTGATTCCATTCCATTGAGAACTACACTTAGAGATCTACCATGAAGGTAATCACTGAGGAGACATAGCGTAGAGCCTGCAATTTCCAGTGCTTGAAGTTTTGCTAAGAGGCCCTGGTGCCACACCCGGTCGAAAGCGCTAGCAATGTCCAGTGCTACCACACAGCTGACTTTGGATTCATCCAGTGACTGGTGCCACTTAGTGGAGAGGTTTAACAACAGATCAGCAGCAGAGTAACCTTTCCTGAAGCCATATTGACGATCACAAAGTAGTGAGTGGTAGTCAAAAAACTCTGTCATTTGTCTTGAGATTATTGTCTCAAGGATCTTACCAGTGATTGACAGGAGTGACACTGGTCTGTAGTTGCTGATTTCTGCTCTGCTCTTCTTTTTGTGAACAGGGACTACAATTGCCTCTTTCCATAGAGAGGGCCATTTACACTGTACTAGGCAGTGCTGAAAGATGCGAGTTAGAGGTGCTGCTAGCTGGTCTGCACATCTTCTCAACAATCTTGGGCTCAACTTGTCTGGGCCCACAGCCTTTTCTTGGTCAAGCGATTTAAGTAGGAAATGCACCTCCTCCTGCCTTATTGTCACCACTGACAGTTTTGACACAGTTCTTGCAGCTAGCCAAGGAGGGTCCCTTGCTGGATCAGGAACTTGCATTTTGGTAGCAAAGTGTTCAGCAAAGAGGTCTGCCTTCTCTTGACTACTAGTAGAGGTGGTCCCATCCTGTCGATTTAGAGGTGGAATAAGTTCATCAGGCAGATAACCTTGTCTGTCCTTGACCAGGGACCACCAGGTTTTGGAGCCTACCCTACCTGATGCTAACTTTCTTTTAGTGTCCACCTCCCATTTAGCAATGGCCCACTTTTGAACATCACCCATATGCCTACAGGCTTGCATGTGCAAGTTCCTGTTATAGGTGGTAGGATGTCTCTTATACCTTCGCCATGCTTTGTACTTAGCAGTAGCAGCCTCTCTACAACGAAAGCCAAACCAAGGCTGATCTGTAGGCTTCGTCACATATTGCCGGTGAGGAATGTGTTCTTGTTGTAGATTAAGGATGTGTCCAGTGAAGGCTTTCACTTGGTTGTCAACATCCCCTTGGAGAAGAGCATTCCAGTCGGTGGTGGCGAGCTCAGAGCAAAGGGCTGGCCAATTACCTCTCTCTCTCTCTCTCTCTCTCTCTCTCTCTCTCTCTCTCTCTCTCTCTCTCTCTCTCTCTCTCTCTCTCTCTCTCTCTCTCTCTCTCTCTCTCTCTCTCTCTCTCCCCCTCCTCTCTCTCCCTCTCTCTCCTCTCTCTCTCTCTCTCTCTCTCTCTCTCTCTCTCTCTCTCTCTCTCTTCCATCATTAGCTGCTCACTCAGCACTCTCTCATGAGAGCTATCTCTCACCACCAGTGTATATACACTGAGAGATACATACTACAAGATAAATATGTCTCCTGGAGAAACTGTGTTGCCACAAGCAACACCTGAGAGCACTTTTCATCAGGTCAGGGCGAAATGTTGTCCCTAAGTCGTGAGTGTGACGAGCACGTTTAACTCATGCGAAGGTGTCTCTCGGTGGAAACGTATGGGCAGGTACATGACTGTTGTGGGTGGCATCCCGGGAGGTTCAAGTCACATCCATTTAAAAAGGAAGAAACACTGCATCAGACCCACTAGCACAAGCTAGTCAGGTCTAACTCACACCCATTCACACTCACTTAAAACTACACAAGGTTTTAGCTTCAATGGCGCTACTTGGGAGTTTCTCACTCGTCCACAACCTTGTTACCAAACCAGTGCTTTCCTATATCCTTCCTGAATCTAAATGTTTCCAACTTAAAACCATTGCTATGAGTCCTGTCTTGGCTAGATATTTTTAGCACGTTATTTATACTCCCTTTATTTATTCCTGTTTTCCATTTATACACCTCAATCATATCCCCCCTAATTCTACGCCTTTCTAAAGAGTGCAGATTCAGGGACCTCAGTCTATCCTCATAGGGAAGGTTTCTGATGCATGGGATCAACTTTGTCATCCTCCTTTGTACGTTTTCCAGAGCATTTATATCCATTCTGTAATACTGTGACCAAAACTGTGCAGCATAATCTAAATGAGGCCTAACCAAGGATGTATAGAGTTGAAGAACAACCTGAGGACTTCTATTATTTATACTTCTTGATATGAAGCCAAGGATTCTATTCGCTTTATTAGGAACACTTACGCATTGTTCTCTCGGCTTTAGATTACTGCTAACCAGAACTCCTAAATCTTTTTCGCAATCAGAGATAGTAAGATCAACATTATTTAGTTTAAAAGTATCATGATTATTTTCCTTTCCAGTGCTAAGAACTTTGCATTAGTCTGTGTTTAACTGCATCTTCCACATCACCGACCACTGCATCAGTCTATTCAGATCTTCCTGGAGTGCTCTAGTGTCCTCGTCAGATTGAATTTTGGTGTCATCGGCAAACTTGCTTATGTAACTATTTATTCCTTCATCTACATCGTTTATGTGAATTGTGAACAACAAAGGGTCCAACACCTGTGGAACACCGCTTGTGACGTATCCCCATTCTAATTTATCCCCGTTTATGCAAACTATTTGTTGCCTATCTGTCAGCCACGCCTCTATCCAGGAAAAAATTTCTCCTATTTTGTGTGCCTCGACTTTCATCAATAATCTCCGATGTGGGACTCTGTCAAAAGCCTTACTGAACTCCATATCATATTCATTACCGTGATCTACCTCCTCAAATACCCTAGTGAAAAAAGTTAGTAAGTTTGTAAAAACCGTGCTGAGATTTATTAATTAATTTATGTCTTTCGAGGTAGCTACAAATAACCTCGGCAGTTATAGATTCCATCAATTTTCCCGCTATGGAGGTTAGGCTAATTCGTTTGTAGTTGGAAGCTAAGGACCTGTCACCTGCTTTGTAGTCAGGTATCATATTTGCAATTTTCCACTTATCTGGTACTATGCTAGTACTAGATAAGGTGATATGTTGAAAAGACTAGGTAAAGGCTCACTAAGTTCCTCCTTACATTCCTTTAAAACTCTTGCAAACAGTTCATTGGTGCTGGGGATCTGTTAAGTTTTAATTTATATATTTGTCTGAGGACCATGTCGCTAGTGACAGTGATCGTGCAAGACTTATTTTCGTCCTGTTCAACATAGTTTATTATTTCTGGAATTTCACAAGTATCTTCCTGTGTAAACACTGAAAGGAAATAAGTGTTAAAAACTCTACACATTTCCTTACCACTGTCGGTGAGCTGACCCGAGTAACTTTTGAGTGGGCCTGTCTTGTCCCTGATCTTACTTCTGTATACCTGAAAGAAACTTGTTGGGATACCCTTCGAATCCTTTGCGACTTTAACCTCATAATCTCTTTATGCTGTTCTTATTCCCTCTTTTATTTCTCTCTTTAACTGAATATGTTGATTTCTTACTGGCCCCCTCTCATCTTCTGACTCACCTGTAAACGAAGCTCTTAGCCTGTAAATAAAGTAGGATAACAGCTCTTAGCCTGTAAATAAAGTAGGATAACAGCTCTTAGCCTGTAAATAAAGTAGGATAACAACTCTTAGCCTGTAAATAAAGTAGGATAACAACTCTTAGCCTGTAAATTTAAAAATATTAAACATTTTTTTTTATCATTGCAGATGACGAGGTTGTGAGATCTCTGGAAGATCAGTTCTCTTGAAGAGGATCCTCAGACCAGCAGGAACTGGTCCAGGACCTGCTGTCTCCCAGCAGTGACGGGAACTGAACACTGCAACTCCCCCAGCAGTGACGGGAACTGAAGACTGCACCTCTCTCAGCAGTGACGGTAACTGGAGACTGCACCTCTCCCAGCAGTGACGGGAACTGAAGACTGCACCTCTCTCAGCAGTGACGGTAACTGGAGACTGCACCTCTCCCAGCAGTGACGGGAACTGAAGACTGCACCTCCCCCAGCAGTGACGGGAACTAAGGGTATAACCCGAGTACTGAGGTGAAAGCCTGCAGCAGTGAGGTGCTGTAGTGACTGCAGTGCAAACACACAACCTGGCCACCATGACAGTGACATCAACCATCAAATATCAACCCTTCACCACATACTAAATTATATCAGAAGAAGATATATATTTTTTACAGTGGAGACGAAGAGGAAAGTGAGAAACGAAGAGAGAAAGAGAGATAGAGAGAGAGAACGAGAGACAATATGGCAGCATTTGAGAGATGTTGTTGCTGTAGTCTCCGTGCTGGAACAATCTTTATTGGTGTGCTCAGTCTGGTAAGATGTCTTGTTTCAGTGAAAGCTATATATACCGGTATATGCACCGTGAGGTGTACGCCTCCCAGTGTATATACACCGAGGGGTGTACATCAGTGTATATACACCGAGGGGTGTACATCAGTGTATATACACCGAGGGGTGTACATCAGTGTATATACACCGAGGGGTGTACATCAGTGTATATACACCGAGGGGTGTACATCAGTGTATATACACCGAGGGGTGTACATCAGTGTATATACACCGAGGGGTGTACATCAGTGTATATACACCGAGGGGTGTACATCAGTGTATATACACCGAGGGGTGTATACCAGTGTATATACATTGAGGGGTGTATACCAGTGTATATACACCGAGGGGTGTACATCAGTGTATATACATCGAGGGGTGTACATCAGTGTATACACACCGAGGGGTGTACACCAGTGTATATACACCGAGGGGTGTACATCAGTGTATATACACCGAGGGGTGTACACCAGTGTATATACACCGAGGGGTGTACATCAGTGTATATACATCGAGGGGTGTACATCAGTGTATATACACCGAGGGGTGTACATCAGTGTATATACACCGAGGGGTGTATACCAGTGTATATACATTGAGGGGTGTATACCAGTGTATATACACTGGTAGTTAACATTAATCCCTATTTCAGGTATTAGAGTATTCGCACAAAACACATGCTCAGATGAGTCAAAGGGATGTTAGGAAGTATTTATTCAGCCACAGAGTTGTCAGGAAGTGGAACAGTCTGGAGAGTGATGTAGTGGAGGCAGGATCCATACATAGCTTTAAGACGAGGTATGATAAAGTACATGGAGCAGGGAGAGAGTGGACCTAGTAGCGGCCAGTGAAGAGACGGGGCCTGGAGCTATGATTCGACCCTTGCAACCATAATTAGGTGAGTACACACACACACACACACACACACAAACACACACACACACACACACACACACACACACACACACACACACACACACACACACACACACACAAACACACACACACACACACAAGCCGCTTCTCACTTGTTTCCTTAATCTTCTCAACAACTTTCCTAATTATGCATTAAATGGCTCAGTAAACCATTTACGTCAATAAGTTCCATTTACAGCTTTGTAAAACACTAATATTTTTTTCCACTGTAGCGGAAAGTAAATATGTATAGCTAAGAAATTCTAATATACTCGAAGATGTGTTCCAAGTATAGCAACACTGTCTCGTCTTCAGATCAGAACACCAATGTGCTCTAGTGTAGACGTCAGACCACCAGCCTGTGCTCTAGTGTAGACGTCAGACCACCAGCCTGTGCTCTAGTGTAGACGTCAGACCACCAGCCTGTGCTCTAGTGTAGACGTCAGAGCACCAGCCTGTGCTCTAGTGTAGACGTCAGAACCACCAGCCTGTGCTCTAGTGTAGACGTCAGACCACCAGCCTGTGCTCTAGTGTAGACGTCAGACCACCAGCCTGTGCTCTACTGTAGACGTCAGACCACCAGCCTGTGCTCTAGTGTAGACGTCAAACCACCAGCCTGTGCTCAACTGTAGACGTCAGAGCACCAGCCTGTGCTCTAGTGTAGACGTCAGACCACCAGCCTGTGCTCTAGTGTAGACGTCAGACCACCAGCCTGTGCTCTAGTGTAGACGTCAGACCATCAGCCTGTGCTCTAGTGTAGACGTCAGACCACCAGCCTGTGCTCTAGTGTAGACGTCAGACCACCAGCCTGTGCTCTAGTGTAGACGTCAGACCACCAGCCTGTGCTCTAGTGTAGACATCAGAGCACCAGCCTGTGCTCTACTGTAGACATCAGAGCACCAGCCTGTGCTCTACTGCAGACATCAGAGCACCAGCCTGTGCTCTAGTGTAGACGTCAGACCCACCAGCCTGTGCTCTACTGTAGACATCAGAGCACCAGCCTGTGCTCTAGTGTAGACGTCAGACCACCAGCCTGTGCTCTACTGTAGACATCAGAGCACCAGCCTGTGCTCTAATGTAGACGTCAGACCACCAGCCTGTGCTCTACTGTAGACATCAGAGCACCAGCCTGTGCTCTAGTGTAGACGTCAGACCACCAGCCTGTGCTCTACTGTAGACATCAGAGCACCAGCCTGTGCTCTAATGTAGACGTCAGACCACCAGCCTGTGCTCTACTGTAGACGTCAGACAACCAGCCTGTGCTCTAGTGTAGACGTCAGACCACCAGCCTGTGCTCTAGTGTAGACGTCAGACCACCAGCCTGTGCTCTACTGTAGACATCAGAGCACCAGCCTGTGCTCTAGTGTAGACGTCAGACCACCAGCCTGTGCTCTACTGTAGACATCAGAGCACCAGCCTGTGCTCTAGTGTAGACGTCAGACCACCAGCCTGTGATCTACTGTAGACATCAGAGCACCAGCCTGTGCTCTAGTGTAAACGTCAGACCACCAGCCTGTGCTCTACTGTAGACATCAGAGCACCAGCCTGTGCTCTACTGTAGACATCAGAGCACCAGCCTGTGCTCTAATGTAGACGTCAGACCACCAGCCTGTGCTCTACTGTAGACATCAGAGCACCAGCCTGTGCTCTAGTGTAGACGTCAGACCACCAGCCTGTGCTCTACTGTAGACATCAGAGCACCAGCCTGTGCTCTACTGTAGACATCAGAGCACCAGCCTGTGCTCTAATGTAGACGTCAGACCACCAGCCTGTGCTCTACTGTAGACATCAGAGCAACAGCCTGTGCTCTAGTGTAGACGTCAGACCACCAGCCTGTGCTCTACTGTAGACATCAGAGCACCAGCCTGTGCTCTAATGTAGACGTCAGACCACCAGTCTGTGCTCTACTGTAGACATCAGAGCACCAGCCTGTGCTCTAGTGTAGACGTCAGACCACCAGCCTGTGCTCTACGGTAGACGTCAGAGCACCAGCCGGTGCTCTAGTGTAGACATCAAAGCACCAGTGTGTGCTCTAGTGTAGACATCAAAGCACCAGTGTGTGCTCTAGTGTAGACATCAAAGCACCAGTGTGTGCTCTAGTGTAGACATCAAAGCACCAGTGTGTGCTCTACTAGCGTGGTCAGTGTGACGGGGTCGCGAGTGACCATTGTCTCCTGTCTAAATCATGATGGTGGTGAAGCTATTTTAAGAAATACAATGATATATATACACCCAGAGTGGTGTGTATGATCATACATACACCAAGAGGTGTGTATCTCTTGCTTGTATACACTGAGAAATACGCACTTTTGATCCATAATATCCCCGTGTTGTAGCTACTAGCCTTTAAATGTATCAATATGATGAAATTAATGACAAGGATCTTTATTTAACATTAATGTATAAGACTGGGTAGTGTATAACCGTGTTATCTGGAAGTTTTGTATAACCGTGTTATCTGAAAGTAGTGTATAACCGTGTTATCTGAAAGTAGTGTATAACCGTGTTATCTGAAAGTTTTGTATAACCGTGTTATCTGAAAGTAGTGTATAACCGTGTTATCTGAAAGTAGTGTATAACCGTGTTATCTGAAAGTAGTGTATAACCGTGTTATCTGAAAGTAGTGTATAACCGTGTTATCTGAAAGTTTTGTATAACCGTGTTATCTGAAAGTAGTGTATAACCGTGTTATCTGAAAGTTTTGTATAACCGTGTTATCTGAAAGTAGTGTATAACCGTGTTATCTGGAAGTTTTGTATAACCGTGTTATCTGAAAGTAGTGTATAACCGTGTTATCTGGAAGTTTTGTATAACCGTGTTATCTGAAAGTAGTGTATAACCGTGTTATCTGGAAGTTTTGTATAACCGTGTTATCTGAAAGTAGTGTATAACCGTGTTATCTGGAAGTTTTGTATAACCGTGTTATCTGGAAGTTTTGTATAACCGTGTTATCTGGAAGTTTTGTATAACCGTGTTATCTGGAAGTTTTGTATAACCGTGTTATCTGGAAGTTTTGTATAACCGTGTTATCTGGAAGTAGTGCATAAGTGGGCAGTGTATAACTGTGTTATCTGAAAGTGCTGTATAAGTGGGTAGTGTATAACTGTGTTATCTGAAAGTGCTGTATAAGTGGACAGTGTATAACTGTGTTATCTGAAAGTGCTGTATAAGTGGGTAGTGTATAACCGTGTGATCTGAAAGTAGTGACTTGTGCTGTGGTCTATAAAAGTGAAGGCCATCTAGGGTTAAAACACTATTTGCATTACACAGTTTCTCAAACTGGGTCTTGTAGGCGGTGTTTGTGTGTGTGTGTACATGTACGCCTGAAGCATTTGACTAGTGTACGTCAAGTTCTGCTGCTTGCTGTGCCCAGGCAAGTCACTCCCACAGCACTACGACTCGCCTCCACACCCCAATAACTCACTTCCCTAAAACTCACTCCTACATACCTACAATTCACTCCTGCAATTTACTCCAACAGTTCATTCCTACACCCCTACAATTCGCTCTTACACCCCTTCAGTTCACTTCCCCCCCATGCACATCACTTCCCTCCCTCATTATCTCCCCCTTCCCTTCCTTCCCTCCCTCCCCCTCCCCTCATCAACCACCTTACGGGTTACATTCCCCCAGCAATAATTCACACGTCCGCTAGATGCCACCTGATCCCTTCAACTCATCTATCCATTGCCCCCCTTATCCCCCTCCTCTCATCTCCCTCCTCCCTCCCCCCTGGAACACCAAGAGCTGGTAATCTTGGTGATGGCAGGTGGTACTGGTGGTACCTTTATTACCCCCGTTTTAAAAGGGAACCACCACCTACGCCCTTTTGTAGATTTTAAAAAGCATTGGATCCTATTTATTATGCGTGTGTGGGATCAGATGTTTTATTGTGGGAGAGTTTAGACTGGATCAAAGTCTGCTATATTACAAGAGAATGGGATCCTGTATCTTTATATAAGGATTTAGGACCTATACCCTTATATCCTCTGAATTAAGGATTCAGAAACTGTATCCCTGTATTCTCTGATGTAAGGATTCAGAACCTGTATCCTAGTATTCTCTAATGACATAAAGATTCTGAACCTTTATCCTACTAATGACATAAGGATTCAGAACCTGTATCCTAGTATTCTCTAATAATATAAAGATTCTGAACCTTTATCCTACTAATGACATAAAGATTCAGAACCTGTATCCCACTAATGACATAAGGATTCAGAACCTGTATCCTACTAATGACATAAGAATTCAGAAAACTGTATCCTTACTAATGACATAAGGATTCAGAAACCTGTATCCTACTAATAACATAAGGGATTCAGAACCTGTATCCTCAAAAACTAAGGTTCAGAATATACCTATGACAAAGGATTCAGAACCTGTATCCTACTAATAACATAAGGATTCAGAACCTGTATCCTACTAATAACATAAGGATTCAGAACCTGTATCCTACTAATGACATAAGGATTCAGAACCTGTATCCTACTAATGACATAAGGATTCAGAACCTGTATCCTACTAACATAAGGATTCAGAACCTGTATCCTACTAATGACATAAGGATTCAGAACCTGTATCCTACTAATGACATAAGGATTAGAACCTGTATCCTACTAATAACATAAGGATTCAGAACCTGTATCCTACTAATAACATAAGGATTCAGAACTAGTATCCTACTGACATAAGGATTCAGAACCTGTATCCTACTAATAACATAAGGATTCAGAACCTGTATCCTACTAATAACATAAGGATTCAGAACCTGTATCCTACTAATGACATAAGGATTCAGAACCTGTATCCTACTAATGACATAAGGATTCAGAACCTGTATCCTACTAATGACATAAGGATTCAGAACCTGTGTCCTACTAATGACATAAGGAGTCAGAACCTGTGTCCTACTAATGACATAAGGATTCAGAACCTGTATCCTACTAATGACATAAGGATTCAGAACCTGTATCCTACTAATGACATAAGGATTCAGAACCTGTATCCTACTAATGACATAAGGATTCAGAACCTGTGTCCTACTAATGTCATAAGGATTCAGAACCTGTGTCCTACTAATGTCATAAGGATTCAGAACCTGTGTCCTACTAATGACATAAGGATTCAGAACCTGTGTCCTACTAATGACATAAGGATTCAGAACCTGTATCCTACTAATGACATAAGGATTCAGAATCTGTATCCTACTAATGACATAAGGATTCAGAACCTGTGTCCTACTAATGACATAAGGATTCAGAACCTGTGTCCTACTAATGACATAAGGATTCAGAACCTGTATCCTACTAATGGCTTAAGGCTTCAGAAACTGTGTCCTACTAATGACATAAGGATTCAGAACCTGTATCCTACTAATGACATAAGGATTCAGAACCTGTATCCTACTAATGACATAAGGATTCAGAACCTGTATCCTACTAATGACATAAGGATTCAGAAACTGTGTCCTATTAATGACATAAGGATTCAGAACCTGTATCCTACTAATGACATAAGGATTCAGAAACTGTGTCCTACTAATGACATAAGGATTCAGAACCTGTATCCTACTAATGGCTTAAGGCTTCAGAAGTTATGACTGATTACGTTGGTATGTTACAGGTGATGAGTGTGGGTGCTGGAGCTGTGTGTGTCCTGCTAATCACTGCACAGCACCTGGACCAGGTCATACAAACAGCCTACAACACCTACCATGACCTGGAGAACCCCATTAAAGTCTACGGTCCTAATGGTACTGGAGGAGGTGAGAGGGAAGGGGGGGGAGGTGAGGGGGGGTTGGGAGGGAAGGAGAATGGTACTGTAACAATGTATGGGTATCGTTCCTAGCTGGTTCCTAAGTCTTAGTTACTAGTTTCTAAGTCTTAGTTACTAGTTCCTAAGTCTTAGTTACTAGTTCCTAAGTCTTAGTTACTAGTTCCTAAGTCTTAGTTACTAGTTCCTAAGTCTTAGATACTAGTTCCTAAGTCTTAGTTACTAGTTCCTAAGTCTTAGTTACTAGTTCCTAAGTCTTAGTTACTAGTTTCTAAGTTACTAGTTCCTAAGTCTAAGTTACTAGTTCCTAAGTCTAAGTTACTAGTTCCTAAGTCTAAGTTACTAGTTCCTAAGTCTTAGTTACTAGTTCCTAAATCTTAGTTACTAGTTCCTAAGTCTTAGTTACTAGTTCCTAAGTCTTAGTTACTAGTTTCTAAGTTACTAGTTCCTAAGTCTAAGTTACTAGTTCCTAAGTCTTAGTTACTAGTTCCTAAGTCTTAGTTACTAATTCCTAAGTTTTATTTACTAGTTCCTAAGTCTTAGTTACTAGTTCCTAAGTCTTAGCTACTAGTTCCTAAGTCTTAGTTACTAGTTCCTAAGTCTTAGTTACTAGTTCCTAAGCCTTAGTTACTAGTTCCTAAGTCTTAGTTACTTGATCATATGTCTTACTACTAGTTCATAAGTCTTCTTAATCAGTCACTAGTTCCTAATTCTTCTTAGTCAATCACTAGTTCCTAATTCTTCTTCGTAGTCACTAGTTTCTAAGTCTTCTGAGTCACTAGTTTCTAAATCTTCTAAGTCACTTAGTTCCTGATTATTCTTAGCCAGTTAGTAGTTCCTAGAAAATCTTAGAGCTCGGCTAAATATTATCTAGATTAGCTAAATCTTGCTAATAACCCATAAAGGATTAAATCAGGCGTTAAGCACCTATTAGAGAGGTTATAACTGGCACCTAGTACCTCCTAACAACACCTAGCACCTCCTAGCAACACCTAGCACCTCCTAGATACCTAGTACCTCCTAGCAACACCTAGTACCTCCTAGCAACACCTAGTACCTCTTAGCAACACCTAGCACCTCCTAGCAACACCTAACACCTCCTAGCAAAACCTAGCACCTCCTAGCAATACCTAGCACCTCATAGCAATACCTAGCACCTCTAGCAACACCTAGCACCTCCTAGCAACACTTAGCACCTCTTAGCTCGGTGGTACGTGTAGGTAAGTCTCCTAACACCTACTGCCCCCTCTTATCTAGCAGAAAACAGGTATCTGGGAGTTAGCACTGTTGTGGGTGGTATCCTGAGGAAGAGGTCCTACGACCTCACAAGAAAATAATAATAATAATCTTTATTTCTACCAGTACATGTACAAGGTATACAGACCATAGCTGACATCAGTGACATACTATTATATAGAAACCTGCTTGTTACGCTGAGCATTTCCCGCAAATTAGGTTAATTTTGTCCCCAGGATGCGACCCATACCAGTTCACTAACACCCAGGTACCTGCTTACTGCTAGGTGAACACGGACAACATTATTATTATTATTATTAAAGATTAGCCGGTATTCTCCCGGCCCGGGCCTTTTCCAAGTGGTGGCCCGGCCTTGGCTCCCTCTTTAGGGAGTGTCTGAGACCTAAGTCTCCCATGGGAGGAGGCACAAGTACCTCCTCATCTTTGGGACCAACTGTCCCCAGGCCTAGCCACAAGCTAGGCCTCTCTGGTCTGCCATCCCCGCCCCAAAGGGGCAAATGGGAATGACAGTCTTATGAGCTAAAGGTTCGGGCTCGGGCACCTACCCTACCCTTGAAGGGTTAGGCATGGTGTCGATCAGGGACAACAGGTGTAAGGTGACAAACACCCAGGTACCTTCTTACGGACCTCACTGTGTGAGCTGAGTGTGCTACCAACCCAGCTATGGGACTTTCCTGGCTTATCCTGAGTTATTAGCCCTCCGGGTTAATAACCCGAGTATACTCTTTATCTTATGACTATCTGGCTTCAAAATTTAAACATGAAGCGAAAGAAAACATTTTAAGATGATGAAAAATGTTTTAGTCCCCGCTGTGTGCGTCTCTGTTTTCTGAAGTTAATATATTTATTGGGAAACTGTGCTAAATTTAAAGGGGCCCCACATTCAAAATTTAAATATTGATTTCTTATATGCAGAACACAGATAATGTGGTTTACATGTGATAAAACATTGTTAGGCACAATAGAAAACCACTAGCGCTAAATCCGTAGGGGTCATAAAGCTCCTGGAAGGCAAGGACCCCAATGGAAATAAGTTACTTATACGTATAAGGTTATTCGTTTTACACAAATACATTACATAGATTATCATACATAGCAGCATATGTGTAGAGACTTTTGGGGGTTATCCTGATGGGTAATTTACACTATGTATGATAATTATACTGAAGTGTACCTGTGCCTAAATAAACTGACTTATTCAAGCTCGATTCAGGGAACCGGAGCACAGGTCCAGTTCCTCAGATCAACAGCCCCTCACCAGCTGTGCTGAGACCATTGTTAGTGAGTTTATTCAGGTACAGGTACACACATATACAGTTAGTACATAAATTATCATACATAGCAGCATGTGTATAGAATACCCACGAGGATAACCCAAAAAAGTAAAAGTGACTTATTTCCATTGAGGACCTTGTAATATCTTATTTGAAACTGAAAACAGTAAAGTAACTCAACTATTTGAAAAGCAGTTAAAATAAAGATATATACAGGTAAACTGAATTATTTACATTAACATTAAAGAGAGGATCAGATCACGGTAATAAGTACATACATGTATGTTAGCTATACAAGAAGTCACTCTCCTCCCTTTCAGTAGCTACATTCATTAGGCACCTTTTAGCTCTCTTCTTGAACTGGCTCATGCTAGGACAGGCTTTGATATTTGCAGGCAGTCCATTCCACTCCTTTATTACTGCACAGTAAAATGGGTTTGAAGCCTGACCACTAACTGTGGGCACTACAAAGCTGTGTTCCCTTTCCCTAGTACTATACTTGCTCTGGTTCCCAGCCTTGACAAACTTGGCAACAAGGTATTCTGGACACTGTTGGTTATTGTAACTAAAATTTATACTTATTCTTTGGAAGAGGAGCCCCTCACTGACATCAAGGCACCTCTTTAGAGGGCGGATATGAAATTGTTGGAGAGAATAGTAATTTTGGGTATTTTTTTAATATAGTTACACTTCAAGTATAGTATTAATTACCCTTGAAAGTGTCGATAATTTTTTAATTTAGTTTCAGTGCTCAGTGTGCTATGGTAAACTTGAATTAGCTAATTCTATGATATCATATATTTGTATGATTTGAAAAAAACAATATGTTAAGAGACTTTATATGTATTTTTAGCCAGCCTTAAGCACTCCTAACACCCGTCAGTCAGTCTAGAGTTCTTCCAGCACACATATACTCAGCAGAAAATCCTTCTAACTCCTGTCTAGTCAGCCTAAACCCTTTCTAACACTCTGACATATGTCTAATCAGCCTAAAATTCTTGTAACACCTGTTTAGTCAGCCTAAAACTTTTAACACCCATCAAATCTTCTAAAAGCAATCAAGTCAGTCTAAAACTCTAACATCCATTTAATCAGTTTAAAATATTTCTAATCCCTGTCTGTTCAGCCTAAAGCCCTTCTAGCACTCATCTAAAATTCTTCTAACACTCAACTAGACAGTCTAAAAATTCCTCACGTCCCCTGCTAATGGTATCTGTGTCCCGCAGGAGCGAGGGAGCTGAACCTGGCAGACCCAGAGCTCATGTACATAGAATGGAGCATCATAGCCACCCTTCTCTTCATGTTCGTCTGCACCGTCGTAGACATACTGCTTGTCATAGGTGCCGTCAGAGTAAGTCCTAAGCTGTTGACTTGGTCTTTCCTGGTCCCACTGGGGTGTACTGGGTCCTGCAAGGTCCTGCAGTGCCCTACAATATTCTCCTGAACCTCAAACAGTCATATGTTACAATTCACATATCTTGTGTCTTAAACAGAATGGGTAACGCCTTGGGTGATATGTGGAACAATACATACAGGGCTATGCATAGAGGGCAATACTTAGAGACAGGAGCAGATCTACTATGAGACTAATGAAGCTTAATTTTCAGGGCCCCTAATCCCGGAGGGCCCAAGAAGTGACTTGAGTCCACATTGCTTAAAAATTTTGAGTCTACTGTATGAGAAGAGGTTGCAATAGGGCCCTCATAACAGTTCAAGCTTCAGAGCCCCAGAAATGTAGGTCTGCCACTGACTACAGATACAGGAGATATTGTAGATGGTGTAGTGTATCACTCATATATGCAGTCACTGTAGTCACTAATTTATGCAATCACTGTAGTCATCAGTGTATCAGTGTAGTTATTAATTTATTCACTGTGTCATTGTAATACATGTAGTATATCATTGTAGTTACTGTAACCTTGCTGTATCTTACAGGAGATGCCGTGGATGCTGATGCCATGGATGGTGGTACAATGGGTCACCATATTCCTCACTATAGCATTGTTTGGCCTTGTACTCTGGGTGAGTCTGTCTATCTAAATCAACTTTTTTAAAACTGAGACCTACTGAAAATCCCATACATAGATATAAGGACAAGAATTACACTAGATTACCACAGCCAGGATATTGGCAGTTTGGAGGGATATGTTGTATATCTTTATACGTATATGCTTCTAAACTGTTGTGTTCTGGGCACCTCTGCAAAAACAGTGATTATGTATGAGTGAGGTGAAAGTGTTGAATGATGATGAAAGTATTTTCTTTTTGGGGATTTTCTTTCTTTTTGGGTCACCCTGCCTCGGTGGGAGACGGCCAACATGTTAAAATAATAATAATAATAATAATAATAATAATTTTTACTTTAATCTTGATATTAGGGGCTTAAAGGAGAGACATGATAAGAACATACAAAATACTCAGAGGAACTGATAAAGTAGACTGAGAAAGGATATTTTGAGAGGTGGGAAACGGGTACAGCTAGAAGTTAAAAATGTGGATGAGTCACAGGGATGTTAGGAAGCATTTCTTCGGTCTGAGGATGGTCAGGAAGTGAAATGATGCCAATGAAGAAGTGGCAAAGGCAGACTACATTCATACAAATACAAAAATGCAGATTTTTGTTTTTGTATGCAGTACAAAATAATGTACCTTTGATGAGTTTTGAGAATTTTTCTATTCCTGGAGCCCGGCCATGGGGCAGGCTCATCTGGTGCTAGCCTGGTCAAGGCACTAGTATGCAATGTATTTCAACAAGGAGACAGTAAATCTTTCAAATGCCAAGTTGAGAGGCAAGGCCAGGAGCTAAGATTCAGTCCTGGAATAAGTTACATGAGCAACACCTGGGTATCAGTGTTTAATGGGGTATTGCAAACCAATGACTTTTCCAGTTCAGTATAAAGATGATAGTATATTAAGACAGTAAGAGATGGGGTAATCAGTCCCTCAGCCTAGAAGCTGGTGTTCAGTAGTGCCTTAATTACCCAGTATGAAGGCAGCAAGTCCATAGCTTGTATTCATTTACGTATTTTTCAATACCGGTATTTAGTTAATTACAGTAATTATATGTTTATTTACTTATTCAGTGACAGTAGTTATTCATTTACTTATTTATTAATCACATGACATTCATATTTGACTTATGATATTTTTTATTTATGATAGGTTCGTCAGAATGTAACCCCATTGTAAGTTGAGGAGTGCCTGTACACCCACTAATTCCTGTGTCTTGTGTCCTCTATACAGCATGAGCTAGTGGCGATGCCCAGGTACTGGTGGGCGGTGATGTTCGTGGTGGCGGTGGTGATTCTAATGATCCTGGCCTTCGTGTTAGTGCTCTCTCTATACCAGAGTGTCAGGGAGAGGGAGATGCCAGAGTTCTACCAGGGAGCTGAGCTCGTGGTGAGTACTGGCAAGAGTTACACTCAGGTGGCAGACAGACACCTGATTGGTCAGTCAATGATTTGCAGGCCAGGACTTGCAGATGGAGGATCCAACCTCTACCACCTCTTTTATGAGGAAAAGGCATTTATAATAATAATAACAATAATAATAATAATCTTTTTTTCTACAAGTACATGTACTGTACAAGGTATACAGACCATAGCTGACATCAGTGACATACTACTACTAGTATATAGAAAGCCACTTGTTGTGCAGAGCATTTCAGGCAAATTAGGTCAATTTTGTCCCAGGATGCTTGTGAAGGCTTACTCAGCCCTGTAACAACTTCAGACAGTATAACCCAGGCTGGCTCCTCCTCAGGAAAATTAGTGAATAGAAAAAGAAATAACAGACAAACATAAACACTTTATTATGTAGAAAATATAAAATATAAAACACTTAAATATGAAATATTAATCCTACATTAAAGAAAATGAAAAAGGAAAAATATAAATGATAACTGAATTCAACGCTAATTTAACACTTGGGTGTCTGGTGTTGGTGACACTGCTTGTTGAAATCGTAGCCGTTGCTGATGATGGGGGGGAGGTCGCAGGTGTTGGTGACCACCACTGGCTAGTTCTTCACAGATTAACGCCTTTGGTAGTATCCCGATGACAGGAAAAGCAGGTTCTTCACCGCTGCAATGATTGTGGGGTTACGTCCTGCAATTTCATACAGGTGCACAGGTAATTAGATCCAAAATGGAGAAGTCTCTGGACGTTAGTCCTTCTCCTGTTCTTCTCGTTGATTGACAGGTGACCCTCACTGTCATCGAAGAGTAGTGTTGGGAGCTGCGAGTCGAGTCATTTACTTTTTGGGACCAGAGCCCCACAGTCACACTTTCGAGGGGGGGGAAGAGGGGGGGTAAGGGATAGGGGAGCTAGGACTGACCCTACGTTAACAAGCAGCGGCAATCAAACTATCACTTTAGGGGTGGGGGGGAAGAAAAAGCGGGAAAAACAGGAGCGTGACTTACCCTACCTTAACTAGTAGCCGGCAATGAAATTATCACTTTCGGGGAGGGGGAAGAAAGGGGGAGGGGGAGGTGACTTACCCTCCCTTAACTAGTAGCCGGGTAATGAAACTATTGTTACTATATTGCTACTCCTATCTATTGAACTTTTCCTCACACTCCCCCATACCAAGACTTATAGTCAAGGAGTAAAAAGAAGAATAGGCGGGGAAAAAAAAGTTCTAACATGTGGAAGTCGCGTAAGGCAAAATTTTCTACGGGACTGTCACGACTTAACCAGTCAAGAAATAATTGGATGGACCATTGATATACACAATATGGAACTTAAAAGCCTGGAGTGCCAATGTCCACTTCAAGAGGCGCATGTTGGTTCCCTTAAAAGTTTCTAGGTATATCAAAGGTTTGTGGTCCGTTTCTAAAATGAATTCTTTTCCCAGCAAATAAAATTTAAGTTTGGAGATACCCCACAAAAGGGCTAACTTTCCCTTTTTCTATTGTGGAGTATCTTGTTTCTGCGGGAGGAGTTTCCGGCTTAGGAAGCATACGGGAAGGGAGTACCATCATGGTATTGTAGTAACACTGCACCTAACCCAGTATTGGAGGCAATCAGTTCTCAAAGAAAATGTTTTATTAATATCTGGAATCTTAAGTATAGGGTCTTTCGAGAGATACTTTTAATCTCATTAACTTTTCCAAGCTAACCCGGAAAGTTCAAGAGGTTCCTTCACAGCCCTTTTTAAGGAAGTCCGATAAGATGCCTGTAAGATCAGAAAGGGATTCGGGTTTAAAACCGTGCATAAAAATTTACAAAACCCAAAGGGAAAGCTACGCATGAGCTTCTTGGTTTTTGGGGAATTTAAATTCTATAAAGACTTTGATCTTACTGGGGAGAGGCTGCAGAGAGTTTTAGAAAAAGTTTATCAGTCTAAGATACCCTAATCTTTTTTATACCCAGGAAGCATTTCTTCGGCTTGGCAGTGAGGCCATGTGAGCGTACCTACGACAAAATGATGTTATGTTTGGATATGTTCGCCCACGTGGGATGTCATTACGTAAATGTTATCAAAATAAACTGAAAACAATTTGGCATATTACCCAAGCCTTTCTTCAGTCTCCACGTAGGTAGAAACAGGCAGTTACCAAACCGAAGGCATAGTTCTATATTGCATCAGTCCTTGGTGTGTAGGAAAAGCGGTTGTACTGCTTAGAAGAAGGATCTAACATTACTTGATGATATGCCTTGCGCAATATCAATCTCTGAAAAGAGGAAGATTTCATAAAATTTGTGTAGATCGCTATCTATTAAGGGCATAGGCTCAGCATCCCACCAAGTTATAGCATTAAGGCCTCTGAAGTCAATAGCAAGTCTATATGAATTATCCTCCTTCTTAACCATGCTACTGGTGAACAATATGAAGTTTACTGAAGGTTCAATGTCTTTAGTTTTAATAATTTGTCTATCTCTCGGTCAAATGCATCCCAAAGGTGAACTGGAACTGGGTAAAATTTTCGTTTGATAGGATTGTCCGTCACTAAGTCTTTCTTATGGACTACCGTGGAGGTAACACCTGGAATATCAGTAAAGATGTCTGATAAGTTACTCACACATTGAAGTAGTTCATGTTTTTATGGTCACCCAAAGATTCATTAATATTAATGTTGGTTGCGCCGAGTGGTCAAGAGTCACCAAGTCATGTAGTTCTTCATCAAGTCTAATTTTAGAGGTGTCAATTACGCACACTTTACATTCTTCAGTTGTTTTATCAAGTTCGTGGTGGAAAAACTAAGTCAAAGTTATTAAGGCAGTTAACCGAATTTCTTCGGTAATATTTCTTAAGGATTTTGATTGATAAAGCTTAGGTTTCCCCTTGACTTCTTTTGAGGTAGTCAACTTTCCACAAATTTTTTAATACTTTATAGGGGACCTTTCCTGCTAGTAATAATTTATTTGACTTGATAGGCAAAATTTACAAGAACTTATCACCTACTTTAAAACTTCTCCTCTGACTTTTGGAATCAAAATAGGTTTTGTACTGGTCCATTGACAAGCTTAGGTTTTTCGAAACTATGTCAGAGGTCTCCTCGGGTTTGGATCTAAGGTCAAGGAGAAACTGGTAAGAAGACTGAACCTCAGCATTTACCTCCTCATTAGTCCATAAGTCATGAAGGTGGACAGTGGACCTCTGGCCTGTCTACCATAGAGAAGTTCAAAGGTGAAAACCCCAAAGAGCCCACGGGGGAACTTCCCTCATGGCAAACAAAGCACAGGGTAGGTAACGATGCCACTCCTTAGGTTTAAGGGAGAAAAATTTTCCCTTAAAATGGACTTGAGAATCGAATGCTGGCGCCCCAATCCTCCATTACAGTGGGGTGGATTAGGGTGTGGTGAAGAGGGGCTTCACTCCCAGAAGTTGGTATAGTTTTTGCATTAAGTCAGATGTGAATTGTGTCCCACGGTCAGACCAAAATTTCTCTAGGGATGCCCACTCTGGAGAGATGGACAAAAGGGCTTCAGCCACCCCTGTAGTAGTTATGTCTTTTAAGGGAACGGCTTCAGGGAAACTCGAAAACATAATCAACTAATGTTAATATATATCTATTTTCCCCCAGATGAAAGGGGATAAAGGACCAACGATTGTCAATAGCTACTCTTTTAAAAGGTACCGTTAAAGACTGGCATTTTGACCATAGGTACTCGCCTGGTACCTCGGGGGGAGACAGTTGGCAAACTTTACACGATCTCAATAGGTAGTGACATTCAGACATTTTTGGCCAAAAAATAGGTTTCCTAATTTTAAATTTTAAGTTTTTACGATGCGAGAAAAGTCGGCCTGGCAGGTCATTGAGCCATTTAAGAAAGGTCTTCTTGCTTTTTATTGGAAACTAAGATGGAATAGTCTATCTCAAACTGATTGAATTTGAATACTGACTTGTACAAGATACCTTTTTATATATTCAATTATATGAAAAGTTTTTCCTTTGGATAATTGATTTTGTTTAGCGGCATTATGGCAATTTAAGAGAGGGAAATTCGTTGTAAATTGACAAAGGAAGGTCCCTTTGATAATGTCTAAAGGGCTTAAAGTCAGGGAAAATAAAGGATGGAAAAGTAGGGGAAACATGGGCCCTTTGGTCTGAGCCCTAGTCAAGACATTTATGGTCATCGGAGGTGATATCTTCACTTTAAATTAACAAGTGCCGGTGATCCTACTACCTTGCTTTCGAGAGTACTACTGGTTTTTAATCCACTGAATTCTCACGAGACCCTTGTTCACCTGACTTTCGAGGGGTTCTCCGACTCTACAGGAAGAGGATCTGAACACCTATGTCCATCTTTGGTGATGAAAAGGTCAACCTCAGAAGGAAGAATGGCACCTTTTAAAATTGCCTATTAGTTTCGGAGCAGAAGTGATGGGAGCTAGTGCGGCTTCAGACCAACCTGTGAACCATTTAGGGCCTAATGTAACAACGGATGGTAGGAAAGTGTCCGTACGGCCATGTTGTCTGAAGTATAGCAGAGGGATGAGTTCTTTAAGATTAGGGAACAGCTTATCAGAAATGACTTACATGTGCATCCAGTGTTCGTTAAAAAGGTAGATACATTAAGTCCATTAACTGTTCCTGAACGGAAGGGTGCTTGGTCATTACAGTCTTTAAACATCTTCCAAAATTTTTGGACCTTCCTTTGAAGGACAATCTGGACGTTTTTTGTCCCCTTTAAAACCCACACAAATGACAAAACAGGAATTAAAAAAGTCATTTTACTTTCCATAGAGGCTTTGATTTCTTAAGGTCTGATGAAACCCTTACCCCTTTGGGTTCGATCCCTTTAGGTCTTTATAGGAATTGTGAAACCTCAGCATAAGTCAGCAGCCTCAGCAACTTCCTCAGCTTTAATCAGGTTACGTTCTCTGATGAATGTTCGTATTTGGTGAGGAAGAGCTGTCAGGAACTGGTCAGCAACCATGAAGTCTCTAAGAGATTTTATAACTGTGATCAATTCCTGAACTTTTTATCCAAAAGTCGAAAAACGAAAGAGTGTTACCCGTAACTGCTGAAAGTTCTGGCCAGGCTGTAAGGTGGCATACCTGAAATCTTTCCTGTAAGGAATTAGTGGTTTTTGATATGCTTTAAGGATTGCCTTCTTTAGTAGGTTATAATTACATAATGATATCCGCGACAAAGTTGCATAGATATTCAAAGCAGTACCAGAAAAATAACATTCCTAACCTGGTAGCCCAGGTGTCAGCAGGCCATTCACAGAGGGGTTTGCGGTATTTCAAACCTGATAATGTATGAGTTTGTCTTCCCCTCTGTGAAGGAGGTAAATTAGGTGTTGGAATATGTGCAAATGACTGCATGTTGTTCCATTACTCCTTCCTCTAATTGTTGGTTTTAAAAAGTTAACTTTTTATTCTCTAATTCAAGGCGAGATTTTTCGAGCTCGCGATCCTTTTCTCTTTCCTCAAGTTCTTAATTTACTTGTTCTTCACGTATCTTAGCTTGTTCCCCCACGTTCTCTAGGGTCCCTTTTCCCCACAATCAAGTCTATCACGTTCTTTTTGGTCTTCTCGCTCTCTTTCTGTCTTTCTGGATTTCTCTCTCAATTCTCTCTTTTCCTTTTTCTCTGTCTTTCAAGGTTCTCTTTTCCCTTTTTTTCTTCTCTTTCGATTCTTTTCTCTCTCCTTATTCTCTTCTCTTTCCCTTTTTAGCTGATCTTTCTTCTCTCTCAATTCTCTCTCTTTCAAGTCTTTCTGGATCTTAGCATAATGAAAGTTCTAAATTTTTCCCTGTTATTCTAACTTACTTCCAGCATTCATCCAAAACTGGTATTCATCCATACTTGCAAGAATAACTTAAACTATCAGGGGGAAAATGAAACGGGTATTAAAGAAAACGGAGGGTTCAATTCCTGCTTCGCTCAAACTGTAAATAAACCAGAGGGCTCGATCCCCTGCTTCAATTATAAACAATATGTATTAACCGAAAAAAGAAGGGTTCTATGCCCGGGTCCAAGCAAACAGTAAGTAGAATGGGGTCACTTGACCATCCCAAACTTCTCACCAACAAATCAAGAGTGTCCTATAACAGTTCCCTTGATATAATAAAGAGCTCAATGAAACAAGTTGTCAATGGGAAAATCTCGAGTCCCTAGAGTCTAATCCTCAAGTGTTTCAAGCTCCAAAAGGTGGCAGAATTAAATATTATATCCTGCCTGGGCTTGACTTACAATAAATTGAGGCTATAACAATCACCAAATCTTTTAAATACCTGTACTGTAGTCCTACCATAGAGAATGATTACTCATGGCTGGGGGTAACCGTTTTGTGGTATGCGGCGTTGAAGTTCCAATGGGTAGATTTCGAGGGTGGAGTTGAATCTTGATTCAGTAGAGTTGATTTCCTGGCAAAGGTCGCCACTTGTGAAGGCTTACTCAGCCCTTGTAACAACTTTAGACAGTATTTACCCAGGCTGGCTCCTCCTCAGGAAAATTAGTTTAAAAGAAAAGAAATAATAACAGACACACTAACACTTTATGTTTGAAAATATAAAATAAAAACACTTAAATATGAAATATTAATCCCACATTAAAAAAAATGAAAAAAGGAAAAAAATATAAATGATAACTGGGAAATTTAACGCTAAATTTAAACACTTGGGTGTCTGGTGTTGGTGACACTGCTTGATGAAATTGTAGCGTTGCTGATGGGGGGGGGGGGGGGGGTCGCAGGGTGTTGGTGACCACCATGGCTGTTCTTCACAGATTAAACGCCATGAGTAGTATCCGATGACAGGAAGAAGCAGGATTTCACCGCGGCAATGAAGTGTTGGGTTACGTCCTGCAATTTCATACAGAGGGTGCACAGGTAATTTGATCCAAAATGGAGAAGTCTCTGGAACGTTAGTTCCTTCTCCTGTTCTGTCTCGTGTGATTTGACAGGTTTGCACCCTCACTCTGTCATCCAAGAGTAGTGTTGGGAGCTGCGAGTCGAGTCATTTAGCTGTTTGGACCGAGCCCACACGTAACCTTTCGAGGGGGGGGAAGAGGGAGGGGAAGGGATAGGCGGGAGCTAGAACTGACCGCGCGTTTAACAAGCACGCCAGCAATTTCGGGGAGGGAAGAAGGCGGGAGCGTGACGTACCTACTATTAATAGTAGCAGTAATGAAACTATAGTTACTATATTGGGTACTCCTATTAGTGTGAACTTTTCCCTCACAATGCTACCCACATAATCAGCTAATACCCAGATACCTATTTTACTGATGGGTAAACAGGGACAGGAGGTGACCTTCGGAAACAGTTTTTCTTATTATAGACAGATTATTTGACAAGAAAAAATTGTTCTTGATATTTGTTATTAGGTATCGCTTTCTTAACTGTGTATGTATGTTTATTATTTAAAAACTCATTATTGTTTTATATAGATGTTATTCAATGCTATAAGAAGGAAATAAAGTCAACATTATTAGTGTAGTGGTAACCCCCCTTCACCACTAAGCCACAAACTGGGAATGGAAAGTACCTGCATTCTGTAGTGTAGGGGTAGGCATGCCTCTGGCAAGACAGTGATGGAGTAAATGATGATGAAGTTTTTTCTTCTTCTTTTTGAGCCACCCTGTTTTTTGGTGGGGAAATGGCCAATGTGTTTAAATTAAATAAATAAATAAATATATATATATATATATATATATATATATATATATATATATATATATATATATATATATAAAAATATATATAAAATTATATATATAATTTTATATAATATATTATATATTATATAATGTATATATATATAAAATTATATATTTATATATATACATATATATAAGTATTTCCCAAATAGCATTTAATCCTTAATTGTTAATTGCAAGTAAGTATTGCATATTAGTTTTGCTAGGATGTCAGATAATCCTGTATATTTACTTTATTCACAGAGATTCTTATTTATTCTTTATTTCCTGACAGCACCGCCACATCTGGCTTTCGCAAAAGGGCAAGTATTATGACTAGCATTGTAAACACTGCTGGAAGATGCGTCCGGCCACGCGGCGGCCGCACCATCCCCAGCAGTTGTCCACACCACTCCCCAGAGACCATCCAGGACACTCTCAAAGGCACAACCTCCAGCTCCCACCAATCACAAGCTCCAGACTCCAGGGGTCTCTAATTCCAGGATCTACCAGCCAACAAGCTGACCTTCCAGATGTAACTGCTCCCGGGTTCAGAGGTAAACATCCCAGAGTCCATTGGTCACCAAGTCCAGAAGCCAGTGGTCGGCAGTTCCAGGCTGAAAAGGTTACCACTCCAGGATCCTCTGGACACCATTTTCAAAGTCCAGATGTTGTCATTTCCAAACATCATAGATCACCAATTCCTGACAAAGAGGCCACTACTCCAGGTGCCAGTGGTCTTCAGTTCCATGGTCCTGACGTCATTTCCAAGATCCATCGGTCACCAGTTCCAGGCAAAGAAGTCACCACTCCAGGATCCCCTGGTTACAAACTCAAGAATCCAGACATCACTAGTTCCAAGCTTCCAAAGTCACCACTTCATGGCAGAGAGATACCTAGCTCCAGGACTCAGGAGTCCCCTATTCGAGGACCCATAAGCCAATACTTACGGAACTCACAAGCACCTGACTCAAGGAGTCACAAGTCCCCGACTCGAGGCTCTAAAAGTCCTAAAGTCTGAGGTTAAGTGACAGTTGTTTTTAGAATCCAAAAGCATTGAATATCCAGACCAAAGAAACTTTTTAAAGTGATCTCTGTGAGATGCCATAGAGACTCCTGCTCACATTAATGAAAAAGATGATAATAACTTTATTTCACAAGATACATTAGAGTTACAGCAGTAGGTTAACAGTGTATATTTCTTACAAAGAAGAGCCCATAGTTATACATAGCATTTTGGGCAACCAAAAGTTAGGTCTTGTACCAACAATATTAAAATACCAGTTTTGTGCAGCACCTGACAAGCTCAACTTGTGGTGGCAAGGACACAAGGACACACTTCACTCATCTTTTGTAAAGAGGAAAACAAGGCATGTGTCTGCCACACAGTTTTATTATTAATCAAAGAATGGTAAACCCGTGTGAGTCATTCAGTGTAAGTATAATGTAGCTACACGTCTTTCATCAGCACATTTATATATATATTAATATATATATATATATATATATATTATATATTATATATATATATATATATTATAATATATAAATATATACTGTATGTATATATACTGCATGGGCACGCTGGCCGCCTTATAATTGCTTGCTCACAAGATGTTGAATCAGAGTGTTGCATTATTTTTCTTCTGCAAAATAAAATTAGAACTTGTCTAATAGACAAGGATGCAAAATTACTTGAAAATACATGTAGTATAAATACAGTGCACTGCAGTTAAGCACACTCATTGATTCGTTGATGCAGGTAGCGACCATAACGGCAGTTATTTGTGTCAATATCAACATTATCTGTAAATTATTATCATCAATTGTCAGTGTTTTGTTACTTCAGCCCATGTGACAGTATGAGTTATCGTGGGAGTGCCAAGAAGAGCGGTGCACCACAGTGCCACCACACTACAGTTCCTTCTATGCTCCTAGTGCAGGGTGTCAGCCATTGTAGTTTAGATTGTTGAGTGTCAAAGCCATTTATTTTCAATGCCATGGGAAGGGGTGGAATCTGCTGCTCATTGTTAATGTCATACATATGGATTTTAATACCTTTTACCCTGGTGCAGTCCTGACTCAATGAGAAGACTAGAGGACAGATCAGCAGCAGATCTGAACATGAGTTGTCACATTTACAGAAAACTCCTTCACATAAACAGATCTGAGGCAATAAGTTGTAATTATTGTATTTTTCTTATGCTGGGTACTCACTATTAAAGTATTTAGTATATTTAACTAACATGATCTAAATGATGTTATTTACAGTTTAATATACCAGATGCAATATACAATGTATTTGAAAACATTTTTCATACAATGTTTGATAGTCTGATTTTGTTGGGTTGATTTTATAACAAGAGATGTCATAGCTTCAGATAGCACTGGTTGATTGGTTGCTTATCACCTTGTTCTGATTGGTAGTGTGTTATATGGCATTAAAAACTAAGGTGAGACTAGATGGGATTAACTATCATGTATTAATATTAGTTTGTGTGATATCAGCCAGTCTTTGAACTTATCCAGTCCCTTTGTGACATAGCTCTTCTGAGTTAGTGATGTACATGGGGCCTTAAATTACTATAGGAGACACTGTCTGTGGTGTCATAGCAGTAATGATATATAATACTGACAAGGTGGTGAATATTATGTGTAATGCCTAAGTATCATTATTTTGATGATGATTCATCAACCAGTGGCTTTATCAGTTCAGTTCAGAGTTTCCTAATGTCTCCATTTGCATCCTCATATAACCTCTGTATTGAATTAATAAAGTCACTGATTGGAGAAATGTCTTCAGAATAAAGATATCCAGGTGTTGCATGTGTCTTATTCATCAACTCTGTGGTCTCATCTGTGACCAGCAGTGACAAAAAATAAAGGTACTGTCTGTGGTTCAGCGTGTGACCAGAGGTTGCAATGACCCTCTGGTGAGAGAAGCTGTCACTAGCTGCAGATCATGATAATCCTGTTGCCAAATAAAGGGACAGACTATGCAGTGGCAAATAAGGAAAGCTTAAAGTGATACAGTGACCAATTCGGGAGAAGCTGCAGGTGCTCTAGTGACCCAAGGTCAAAGTTCAGATCCTAGTTATATGTTGCAGGTGGATTCCTTCATGTGACCTCTTTGCTCATCCGTCGTGACCTTGTTGAAGGGTAACTGAACTAACATTGTATAAAGGGTTGTGATAGTTGAGAAGAAGAATTATGCTCACTCCACACGCTTCTATATTTCTACAAATGTATAATGTATGTTATATACATATTATAGTAAATAAAATAATCACATGTGCATAAATTTCCTCTCCCCCCCCCCCCCAGAAAAAATTAATTTACATCCTTTTCCTTATGTACCCCCTATACACATATACATACGTACATATTTACATACATACATACATAACTCACACACATAGACTGAAGCTCACACTGTATAATCACTATACGTAAGGTTGTGTATATAAGTATATAAATAGTGAAGGTGTATATAATTGGAATGTTAAGGCATGTATAGAGGTTTATGTATTTACCATACAGAAAGAACTAAGGGACACTGGTCAAATACTACCTAATCACCAGGGGCCATAATGGGGTATTAGCCAATTCCAAAGGGGCCTCAGAAATGCTAACCAATTAGGATTAAGATCAAAACATGTTGGCCAGTTACGAGAAGCCTTCAGAGAGATAATAGTCAATAAGAAGTATACTCAAGATATTAGCAAATCATGAGGTCTCTTGGTAGAAATAATGGCTAAATACAGGCGTCTGGAGGTACTGGTTAGTAATAGGAAGGATGTCGTCTTGCAGTTGCTGATTTATGAGATGTTGCCAATCAGTTTTAAGCTTAATCAATAGTGGCCAATCAGGAGTAAGCTCAGGTTGATTAGCCAGTCAAAAGGGGCCTTAGGAGATACTGGCCAATCACTAGGGGCCTTAGGATTCATTAGCTAATCAGGAGCAGCCTTAGGCGACACTGGCCATTTAGGAGTGGCCTTAAAAATAATTGTATACAGTACTGTTAATATTTAAAAAAAACTAGATATTTTCTTTTTACTAAAACATTGTGATATTACTGATCAAGGGAATGTTAAATATTTCTTGTGAGAGTGTAAGAGAAGAGGTGGGTTGGCAGACTGGTGACACGTGAGTGTAAGAGACTGGTCACAGAGTGAGCCATTAAGAGTGATATATATGTTGCCATTTAATAAATAAATTATATGTAGATATGAACTGTGTTTTATCTGACCAAGGCCTTCCACTGGCTTACCCCTCCACCCCTTTAAAAATTTTGGATTTTGGTTATGATTATAAGAGGTCTGGCTACTTACCTTTGGCTTGTAAACACTCCAGGTCACAAGGGAAGTATGTATATGCAATAACATTAGGTACTGGTACCATATTAGAAGCAGATGTGGTAGAACCATGATACTTGTCTTACAAGAAGATACATAAGCATGAAATCATTTCAGTATATACTTTGTAGGCCTCCAAATTCTCAGACTCTAGGCACAGTGCCTAGTATAACCAATGGTGGCATTTCGTACATTAGAAATACAAAAAAAATCTCCAGATACAAGTTTTGGTCAACAAGTGAAGGCTCTGGTTGTCTGCCTGAAGCCACCTCAAAGATTATCTGGTCTTGAAGCATGGGCAGAATTTCCTGTCAGGTAAGAATAGTGCAATGAAACTGCAAGTGCAGTTTTCAATGAGTTTATTTGTCAACAAACACACAAATGAAGCCTGCTCCATGGGTGGTCATTGTCATACACAGCACTACTGCTGAGGTCCTCACTAAGGCACTAATAATGACATCAAAAATACAAGGCACCTTTATGTTGTCAGAGAAACATTGCTATGTATTTTAAATCGGAAATATTACAATCTTATATTGCTCTACAGTCATACTATGTTTCATATGCCATTTCTTGATTTGTCAAAAAGCAATAAATGAGGTGAGGGTTATATTGATAATCATAAATGATGAGTATATCAGTGTAAACTTGACCTTTTCACAAAATGTCTTAAAACTAATGCAATCACTAATTATATAATATAAATCATAAAAAATAATACACTAAAATAAAGAAAATAATATTTTATTTAGTAAAAAATAACAATTGTAATAAGAATATAATAGCACAAAAATAGAAGAGCAGTGTGCTAGGTCTGTTGACCCATGCTAGGCCTCCTGGCCCATGCTAGACAGGTTCTCAAAATCAACTCTTCTCGCTCACATATTTCTCTGATCTATCTTTAAAGTTACTGCAGGTGTCAGCTTGAGTGACTGTACTTGGCAGAGTATTCCACACTCGTCTACAACTCTACTGATAAACCACCACTTTGATCTACCCTTTTTTCTAAGTCAGACGGTGGCAACACTTGAACCCTTTTAAAGATCCTTTTTGGGCAACACTCAGCTTTCTCCAGGGCCCCATAAAGGGAACTCATGCTTTCTCCGGCCCCTAATGGCAACCACTTTCCCGGGCCATAGATGGCAACACTCTGCTTTTCCCAGGACCACTAGATGGCAACATTCAGTTTTTCCCCAGGCCCCCAAATGGCAACAAATCTTTCTGCAGACCACTGATGCAACACATTCTTCCTTCCAGGACCAAAGGGGCAACTCATTCTTTCTCCAGGACCACAGAGGGAAATCATTCTTTTCCAGGCCACTAGAGGGAAAAATCATTTCCTCCAGGCCCATAGAGGGGCAACCCCTTTTTTTTTCCCCCGGACCATTGATGGCAACTCATTCTTTCTCCAGGCCCTAGATTGGAAATCATTCTTTCTCCAGGACCATAGAGGGAACCTGCTTTCCCCCCCAGGACCACTAGAGGGAAACCCCCCCCTTTTTTTCTCCAGGACCCAAAGATGGCAACTCATCCCTTTCTTCCCTTTTTTTTTTTTTTTTTCAAGTATTAATAATTCGTAAGGGAAAAACAAACACAAAATACTAAAAAAATTTTCTGATAAAATTTAAATAACATATCATCATGGTATGAAATGAGGAACTCAGGAAGACAGATCTAGGCAGGAGAAATTTAGAAGTCTATATATGGGTGTTAGAAGAGCAACAGGTAATAATAAAGACGGTGACAGGTAGTACTTCGAAGCATATCACTGTCGCAGGTGGTACTAGTTTAGTACAGGTGGTACTAGTTTAGTACAGGTGGTACTTATCTCTCTTATCTCTTACTAGTTTAGTACAGGTGGTACTAGTTTAGTACAGGTGGTTCTAGTTCAGTATACTTAGTATTAGTTTAGTACAGGTGGTGGCACTAGTTTAGTACAGGAGGTGGTTCTAGTTTAGTACAGGTGACACATTTAGTATAGGTGGTACTAGTTTAGTACAGGTGGTACTAGTTTAGTATACTTAGTATTAGTTTAGTACAGGTGGTGGCACTAGTTTAGTACAGGAGGTGGTTCTAGTTTAGTACAGGTGACACATTTAGTATAGGTGGTACTAGTTTAGTACAGGTGGTAGCACTAGCTTAGTACAGGTGGTAGCATTAGCTTAGTGCAAGTGGTAGCATTAGCTTAGTACAGGTAGTACTAGTTTAATACAAGTGGTACTAGTTTAGTACAAGTGGTGGCACTAGTTTAGTACAGGTGGTGGCCCTAGTTTAGTACAGATGGCACTAGTTTAGTACAGGTGTCACTAGTTTAGTACAGGTAGTACTAGTTTAGCACAGGTGGTGGCATTAGTTTAGTACAGGTGTTGGCACTACTTTAGTACAGGAGGTGGCACTAGTTTAGTACAGGTGGCATTAGTTTAGTACAGGAGGTGGCACTAGTTTAGTACAGGTGGCACTAGTCTAGTACAGGTGGCACTAGTCTAGTACAGGTGGCACTAGTCTAGTGCAGGTGGACAGAAGGTCAAGAGTGATTATTTGATGAGGGAATCGATGGAGGGAGGTAGCAGAGCATTTGGATCAAAGGTTACAGATGAGATCATTCCCACGGTAGGAGACCACACTCCCACGTACTGAATGGGTTTTCCCTGCACTTCCTTGGGTACTGACAACACCATAGTCCTGTGTGTGTACTCCTTGAGGGGCTCCCGTGACCCTCTCTCGTCCAAGACCTGAGACCCGCTGGACTGTGCGTCTCCACTTCCCACCACGAAGATTGCATCTGCAGGAGTATATAATGATGGCCTCTGAGAAGGTAAAACCAAGTGGTGTCTGTGGATTATTATCATTATTATAATGATGGGGGAGCGTTAAACCCGCAGGGATTATACAGCGAATGTGTGGGGGGCGGATGGAAGGTATTCAGGGTCAATTCAGGGAACTGGAGCACAGATCCAGTTCCCTAGATCAAGAGCTCCTCACTCTTGAGGGTTGGTCAGTGGAAGTTAACAAAAACTGTGTGTGTACAAGTAAATGATGATTGTGTCTGTTATCTGACGAACAAAAACTTACCAGGGGAAAGATGACCCCTTGATGCTGTATCTGGGAGTTGTATTCTACCTTACTGTATATCTTGTGTGAGTTGTATTCTACAACACGATGTGCGAGTTGCATCCTACAGTACTGTATATTGTGCCCGTTGTATACTACAGTACTGTATATCTTGCGTGGGTTATATCCTACAGATGTGAATCCGTGTATGGGAAGGTCGTGGACCCAGAAAACATGTCGACAGAGGTACGAGCCTCCATCACATCCTGAATGGCCCACGCGGGTTTAGCGCTCCATGCACCTATATGTGCCAGGTAGGTAGGGGGGGAGCTGAAACCTGACTGCAAGGGTTGACTTTCTATCTTGAGAACAACGTCTGGAAGGTCGAACCAACGACCCACTCACCCTGAACAGTGGAGTCGAAGCTAAAATCTTTGATTTCGATGGTCTCAGTGTCTAGGAGAGTGACACTGGTGGCACTCATAGCTGGCTTGTCACTCTGCAGACCCACTGCCACCTGTGGAGATGGCTCCACCAGGCCCTCTGGTATCGCCACGTCCCCAAAATTTACCTAGAAAATCGGGAAGACAGGCTAAAAAAAAAAAAAGCATGCTGATGTTGGAATGGAACCAGTGTGTTGTCTTCACTGGTAAGTTATTTTGGTTCAATGTCTCGTGATATGCGGTTCACTGAGATATTATAATGTCAAGATTCTTAAGCCAGAGTATAGGTGGAATGCGAGAGATTACACAGGTCACAATGGATCTTTGTCAGACCTCACTGAGCATTGTTAAATTACTAGGAAGGAATGTTAGTTACTTTGTATTTTAGTCACTTCATATTGTTGCTGCACACAGCACAGTAAGCAATACTCAAAAAAATTCTTATTACTAAAAAAAGCATTGGTCATACAAACCGTACTGCCAGAGATACTACTAGCCTAGCCTTAGTCCAACAGTAACACAGCTATCCTAGCCTTAGTCCAACAGTAACACAGCTATCCTAGCCTTAGTCCAACAGTAACACAGCTATCCTAGCCTTAGTCCAACAGTAACACAGCTATCCTAGCCTTAGTCCAACAGTAACACAGCTATCCTAGCCTTAGTCCAACAGTAACACAGCTATCCTAGCCTTAGTCCAACAGTAACACAGCTATCCTAGCCTTAGTCCAACAGTAATACAGCTATCCTAGCCTTAGTCCAACAGTAATACAGCTATCCTAGCCTTAGTCCAACAGTAATACAGCTATCCTAGCCTTAGTCCAACAGTAACACAGCTATCCTAGCCTTAGTCCAACAGTAACACAGCTATCCTAGCCTTAGTTCAACAGTAACACAGCTATCCTAGCCTTAGTCCAACAGTAACACAGCTATCCTAGCCTTAGTCCAACAGTAATATAGCTATCCTAGCCTTAGTACAACAGTAACACAGCTATTCTAGCCTTAGTCCAACAGTAACACAGCTATCGTAGCCTTAGTCCAACAGTAACACAGCTATCCTAGCCTTAGTCCAACAGTAACACAGTTTGCAATCTACAGATTTTGTTACTTTCTCCATAGATATGTTTAACTTCACAAATTTCATTATGGTAGATAATAGATCTGCTAGCCCCTATCTGTACAGTTCTACTTTCTTCAGGCTTGTTCAGGTAATTCGTCAACTCTGTCATGCTCCTGGAGTCCTATGTGAGAGAAAATCCACAAAAACTTAACTGTGATCGATCCCTTTCTTAATAATGTGTGTACATTTGTGCCTAGCTTCATATAGTCCTCGTCATGGCATTATGCCGGGGGCGCTCACCCGGCATAATGCCGTGACGGGCACTGTACATTCAGGTCTCAGGCCATTTAGAGCAAGTAATGAGGAGAGTCACAATTTAGTGTGTGGTCGTAGTTTCCAGGAGTTTGAGAATAACAAGTGTGACAACAGCTCAGTTTGTTACGTGGAAACTCAGATATTAATTCTAATACACTTCTGTATTATGGTGCTATCAGACCGGTTTATAGTAGCAGCGCTAAACCCGGAGGATTATATAGCGCCTGGGGAGGGGGGGAATGGAAGGTATTTAGGCTTAATTCAGGGAACTGGAGTACAGATCCAATTCCCTAGATCAAGAGCCCCTCACCAGCGTCAAGGAACCTCCCCTGAGGGGACGAAAAGTAGTAACCAAGGTTCCAGGATCAAAACGTTTTCATTTTGTACCCTTTTCCACTACTTATTGCTAACATATTCCTTTATGCAAAACAGCCACGGGGAGAGTTAAATGATGGCTCTAGGCCTTTCGTGTTGCAATCAACATGTCATCAGGAGCTTGCAATACTGCAGAAAAAAAGGAGATCCAAGCATATACCTTCAACAGGCAACGCCGCGCCAGCAAAGGCCTAGATCTATCATGCAACTCCCCCCCCCAGTGGTTGTTTTGCATCTTGCATTACATGTTCGCGATAACTGGATAATCCTCGATATTGCGAGAATACAAGAAGACTCACACCAAACCTCCTGCACCAGACGGACATCCACTTGATATTGTCGAGCGACCTCTGACCTTTCTTCGTAACGGGAAATCTTAGTATGATGTTCTTGTTGCGGTAAGGTCCCAACACCTCATTTCTGGGGAGGGAAGATGGGCAGTCAGGGGAAAATAAAGTGAGAGTTATTTAGGTACAAATTTAGGTACAGTTGCACCTAAGTACATAGTACATATTGACATGTGTAAATTACCCACGATAACCCCAGAAAAGTAAGATTTATTTCCATTGTAGGAGTGATGGAAAAGGAAGGAAAGATGAACTTGAAAAGAAAGGAAGATATGGAGTGTCTGGTGGATTATGGTGTTAGAAGCAATGGTGCCATTGCCTCTATGGCGGGGCTGTGGAAAAGCAACTTTTGACTTAAAGCTCCATTGTTCGTTTTGTTTTTCGGGAAATTTTTAATCTTCAGGAAACTTTTGTTCTAAGGTAAACTGATCTTTGGCACACTTTTGTTCCTCGGGAAATGTTGTGGTATCATGGTAGGGGGGGGGGTCCCCAAGGTTTTATAATAAAACCACTGATAAACGGAACTACCTGCTGTTGTAGACTGATCTTTACACTGGTGACTGCAGTGACAACTACAAGGGGAGGGAGGGAAGTTATTTCACATCGTAACTAATAATAAGTCACGTGAGAACCAAATGTAAATAAACATGGTGGCTTACAGAGTTGTTCTGGAACAGTATGAAGGTGAAGCATGAGACAGGAGTCTTCAGTACTGTCGAAGGCGAAGTGGAAGATCTTGAAGTGGAACATTTAACACTCCTTTCTCATGTTTCATATTGTTCCAGATCATGAACTAATACCTATATAGCTGAACTTTTCTTCAGACTGAGGGACTGACCACCTCCAACACTATTTCTACAAGGTTGATGGACTGATTATATCATACTGTAACCACTACACTTCCTGCCTCTGCATTTGAAAACCAACTGTATAGAAGAAACATCTCAACACTAAATATACCCAACTGTTGCACATGTGTCTTATTCTCACACACACACCTGATGACGAAGAACACTCATCCTACAGTAGAAGAGATCCTGTGTGGCTCACCTGTTATGTTCATCAGGAATTATAAAGCCTCGGGAGCTGGGTTTGGGGGACTTGTTGCCCGCGAAGAAGAAAGCGTCTACAAATAAATAAATTTATTACTGGACAGGTTTACAGATTTACATCTTCATTTTCTTTTGTTTGCTAATTTATTTACAAGTATAAAGGATTCATTGTTGGTAAATCATTTTCATGTGCAAAGAATTGTGGTTTTAACTGTTAGTTTTATTGATATATAGACGTGAGCATTGAAGGTGCCGGCTTTAACAGGTCAAAATTGCAATATTCGTATAGAATTTTAGACTCTACCTACCAGGACCCTCTCCGTCGTAGGAGAATCCCTCGATGAATACAGTGGTGTTGTCGACAGCGTAGACGTCTCCTGTCACCCCGTGTTCCAAGGTCGACAACTTGCCTATGTACACTCCCTTGTACTGGTTACTAGGCAGTGCTGCTGCAGCTGCCACACTCACACCTGTGGGTGGTAGTCACTTGTAATGACATGATAACAGTGTTATAACACCATCAGAGGTAAGGGTAAGTAAGGTTATTTAGCCACAGGTACACATAAGTACATTTCCAAGGATAACCCCTACATAAAAGTCAGACACAGCAGTTAAAGAGTCTAGTACTCTTAATAACACTTCAGACACAGAGTCAAAGTACTGGTGGTCTTAGAATCACGTCAATACATTAATAAAATAGAAAAGTTATCAGATTATTAAAGAACAAACGGGCACAATACCGTGACTGGTATTGTGTGACTTTGTAAATAGTCCAAGTCTGACCGAAACGTCGTCGTCAGCTCCTCTCTTATGTGTGGGTTGTGTATCTGTTTGGTTTTGTTAACCTAACTCTACGGAACAATACAGCCTAGTTTGGAAAGGTTATTAAATAATGCAGTAGTAATAATAATAATAATAATAATCTTTATTTCTACAAGTACATGTACAAGGTATACAGACCATAGCTGACATCAATGACATACTACTATATAGAAAGTCACTTGTTATGCTGAGCATTTCCCGCAAATTAGGTCAATTTTGTCCCAGGATGTGACTCAGACCCAGACTCATGGAACTCCGTGTTCATCAAGAACTGCAAGAAGCCCCTATCACGTGCTTTTACCACCCTATGGAGAGGGAGCATGGACACGGGGGTCGTCCCACAGTTACTAAAAACAACAGACATAGCCCCACTCCACAAAGGGGGCAGTAAAGCAATAGCAAAGAACTACAGACCGATAGCGCTAACATCCCATATCACAATAATTTTTCAACGGGTCCTAAGAAGCAAGATCACCACCCATCTAGATACCCATCAATTACACAACCCAGGGCAACATGGGTTTAGAACAGGTTGCTCCTGTCTGTGCCAACTACTGGATCACTACGACAAGGCCTTAGATGCACTAGAAGACAAACAGAATGCAGATGTAATATATACAGACTTTGCAAAAGCCTTCGACAAATGTGACCATGGCGTAATAGCGCACAAATAATAACAGGAAAAGCTAGTAGATGGATCTATAATTTCCTGACAAATAGAACACAAAGAATAGTAGTCGACAGAGTAAAGTCCGAGGCGGCTACGGTGAAAAACTCTGTTCCACAAGGCACAGTACTCGCTCCCATCTTGTTCCTCATCCTCATATCAGATATAGACAGGGATATAAGCCACGGTGTCGTGTCTTCCTTTGCAGATGACACCCGAATCTGCATGACAGTGTCTTCCACTGAAGACACTGCAAGGCTCCAGGCGGACATTAACCAAATTTTTCAATGGGCTGCAGAAAACAATATGAAGTTCAACGATGAGAAATTTCCATTACTCCGATATGGTAAACGTGAGGAAATTAAAATTTCATCGGAGTATAAAACAAATTCCAACCACACATTAGAGCGAAAAACTAACGTCAGAGACCTGGGAGTGATAATGTCAGAGGATCTCACCGTCAAGGACCATAATATAGTATCAATCGCATCTGCTAGAAAAATCACAGGATGGATAACGAGAACCTTCAAAACTAGGGATGCCAAGCCCATGATGACACTCTTCAGGTCACTTGTTCTATTTAGGCTGGAATATTGCTGCACACTAACAGCACCTTTCAAGGCAGGTGAAATTGCTGACCTAGAAAATGTAGAGAACCTTCACGGCGCGCATAACGAAGATAAAACACCTCAATTACTGGGAGCGCTTGAAGTTCTTGAACCTGTATTCCCTGGAACGCAGGCGGGAGAGATACATGATTATATACACCAGGAAAATCCTAGAGGACTAGTACCGAACTTGCACACGAAAATCACTCACAACGAAAGCAAAAGACTCGGCAGACGATGCAACATCCCCCCAATGAAAAGCAGGGGTGTCACTAGCACGTTAAGAGACAATACAATAAATGTCAGGGGCCCGAGACTGTTCAACTGCCTCCCAGCATACATAAGGGGGATTACCGATAGACCACTGGCAGTCTTCAAGCTGGCACTGGACAAGCACCTAAGTCGGTATCTGACCAGCCGGACTGTGGTTCGTACGTTGGATTGCGTGTGGCCAGCAGTAACAGCCTGGTTGATCAGGCCCTGATCCGGGGGTCAACGCGTTGACCCCCGGAACTCTCCAGGTAAACACCAGTCCACTAACACCCAGGTACCTATTTTACTTCTAGGTGAACATGGACAGCAGGTGTCTTAAGGAAACACGTCCTAATGTTTCCAGCCGTACTGGGGATCGACCCCCGGATCTCAGTGTGTGAGATGAGTGCGCTAGCATTGGAGGTGTTGGATAAATTCTTCATGTGGCACTGATAATTTGTATTCCAGCCATCAACTATTATCACTACTACCATTTGTTTACTTGTCTTCCTGCTCCTGCTAGTGTACCAGTTATCCGGCCCTGAACACCATCACCTGTGACCCCAGGTCACAATGACCTCTGAACCCACCACAACAACCCACTTCTCTTCCTAATTCGCACAAAAACTTATAAAATATATATATTAAAACAACTATTCGCCTCTCCATACATATTTTTTCCTTCATGGTGGAATTATGGAAGTTATATCTTGTACCATTCTTTATCACGGCTATAATTATATGGAATTATACGAGTGTATAATTAAGCATATTAGTACAGTTAATTAGGTTTGAAACCTGTCTACTGCACTTGGGTCATTAAGGCTCCACTTCATATCTCTGAATTATTATTATTATTATTATTATTATTATTATTATTATTATTGTTCACAAAAAGGCGGCAAACCTGTGTGGGTCATATAGTGCCATACTTTCAGTGTATATGTACTGAGAGGTACACATACACACAAAAGCTGGAGGACCAGGCAGGTATAACAAGAAAGGCACTACAGTGGATCAGAGAATACCTGACATAAAGACAACAACGAGTCATGGTACCTGACGAGGTGTCAGAGTAGGCGCATGTGACGACCGGGGTTCCACAGGGATCACTTCTAGGGCCGGTGCTGTTTCTGGTTTATGTGAATGACGTGACGGAAGATATAGATTCCGAGGTGTCCTCTTTTTTTTTTTTTTTTTTTTTTTTGCAGACGATGTGAAGGTAATCCGGAGAGTTCAAGTGAATGAGGATCATGTAGAACTACAAAGAGATCTATATAGGCTGCAAACCTGGTCCAATAACTGGCTCCTAAAGTTTAACCCCACCAAGTGCAAAGTCACGAAAATTGGGGAAGGACAAAGAAGACTGCAGACAGAATATAGTCTAGGGGGCAAAAGACTGCAAAGCTCACTCAAGGAAAAGGATCTTGGGGTGAGTATAATACCGAGCACATCTCCTGAGGTGCACATCAACCAGATAACTGCTGCAGCATATGGGCGCCTGGCAAACCTAAGAATAACATTTCGACATCTGAGTGAGGAATCATACAAGACTGTACACCATGAACGTCAGGCCCATATTGGAATTTGCAGCACCAGTATGGAACCCACATTTGGTCAAACACGTCAAGAAATTGGAGAAAGTGCAAAGGTTTACAACAAGACTAATCCCAGAACTATGGGATATGTCGTACGAAGAGAGGTTAAGGGAAATAGAGGTGACGACACTGGAGGACAGAAGGGATAAGGGGAACATGATAACGACATATAAAATACTGAGAGGAATTGACAAGGTGGACAGGGACAGAATGTCTGGAGAGTGATGTAGTGGAGGCAGGATCCATACATAACTTTAAGAAGAGGTATGATAAACCTCATGGAGCAGGGAGAGAGAGTGGACCTAGTAGCGACCAGCCAAGAGGTCAGGAGCTGTGAATCGACCCCTGCAACCACAAATATGTGAGTACACACACACACACAGTTTTGCATTCATAAAGACAGCTCGGCGATATATTAAGGACCCGGAAAAAAAATCTTACTCAAAAAAGTTGAATTTCAGGTCCATCTTGTCCTTGTACCCCTCCCTTCTCCCTCCTCCTCTCCCCCTCCCTCTCTCCATCCCTCCTCGTCAACAGTACCCAGACCAGAAGTTAACACTAATGATGTGTGGTGCATCTGAGTAGCTCTGGTACATCAGGGAAGACATCCTGATGGTTGAAACAACAACGCTGAAGTAGGGAGTTAGTGTTATTATTATTATTATTATTATTATTATTATTATTATTATTATTATTATTATTATTGTGGTTGCAGGGGTCGAGTCATAGCTCCTGGCTCCGCCTCTTCACTGATTGTTAGTAAGTCCACCTGCTCCATGAGCTTTATCATACCTCATCTTTAAGCCATGTATGGTACCTGCCTTCACTACATCACTTCATATTGGTCCACTTCCTGACAATTCTTAATATAAAATGAGAAACATAACTTACACGTGTCTGAACGGTAGATTAACTAGGTTTCAAGCCTATCGAGTCAGCGAAGGTCATAAAGACTTCATATAATATGTATAACACCAGTCAAGAATACTTTAATATCTAAAATAGGGAGTAAAGTGAGTCTTCTGTGTATATACACAGGAATATTCACAGGGACATACAAATATTTTTTTTTTGAGGGTACGATAACTGTGTGCTCAAGGTACGATGCTCCTGGCTCTTGTTTACACTTTCGTAGAATGTTGCAGAGGTACGATGATTCTGACGAAGGTTATAATGCTAGACATCATTTTTAGCTTACAAGCTGTATTAATTAAACTATAAAGCTATTAGGCATAATCATTATAAATATTGCCACATGCTCAAACATCGGGAATCACCTGTAACGATGATGTAAAATACATAAAATAACAGGAAGGTATGACACTTTATGGCATCTGGAGATTTAACTACAAAAGCGAGGCACGATAATTATGGCAACACCAGAAGTAGCAGCAGCAACACCAGAATAGCAACAGCAACACCAGAAGTAGCAACAGCAACACCAGAAGTAGCAGCAGCAACACCAGAAGTAGCAGCAGCAACACCAGAAGTAGCAGCAGCAACACCAGAATTAGCAGCAGCAA